ATAAGTTGTCACCCATTTTCATTTGGAATAATCTCACTACAGTCCCCACTTTGTATACTGCCAACCGGTTTTCATAAGGGAAACAGTGAGGTTCCTCTGAGAACAGGACAGTTGCGCAATTGTTTGTTATTGTTATTTTGCTGCTTGTTAATAGAACAGGAAGGAGGCCTTCAAAAAGCAGCTCCCAATCATAAAGGGATTTTTTTTTTTCTCGTTTAAACTCATCCCACGGTTACAGTCTTCCTGCCAGGCTAGGCGCGGGTCCGATCGTTTTCGGGGCCCGCAATCTCGAGGGGCTTTCTCTTTGGGGGGGTGCCCTGCGCTCCCTGGGCACCTGCCCAGCAGCAAATGCTCCCGGGGACACTGGCCGCTGTCTGGGTCGGGGGCCGAGTCTGCACCGCCGCGCAGGGACGGGGAGGGGAATTTCCGTTGAATTCGACCAAAGGCACCTGTCGGGGAAACTCAAGCTCTGATTTTAAAGCAAACCACTCCTGCGTCCAGAGTCACGACGGCGATAGTTCGCTGCGCAGCCCTCGCTCGGCTCCTCGGCGGCCCTGCGGACTCGGTCCCACGGAGCGGCGGGAGGCGCCGGCGCAACGGGCGGCGACTCCCTGCGCCGTCGGCAGTCTGTCCGGGGGTCGGCGGGTGGGTCTGTGGGTCCGCGGCCCGTCTGGTGCTCGGCCCACACTTCCCCCGCCCGCCGAGCACCGCCGCCCGCCGAGAAGGCGGGGCCGCTGGGGTGCGGGTGTTGCCGCCGGCGTTGCTGTCACTGTCCTGCTAGGCTCTCCTGCCATTGGGCCCCGTGGCCGGCGACCTCGCGGGGATTGGTCCGCTCGACGTCACTCTCGCGAGCCCGCCCGCAGAGGCCCAGGGTGATCCCGCTTTGCCGGGTTGCCGGCTCCCGGCTGCTGCCTGCTGGGCAGCTCCGTGGGCCCGCTCCAGGGCTCTGCAGTGAGAAAACCTTTCTGGGCCCGGATATCGTTTTTCACAGAAGCACACAGGAGATCAGTTGCAAAAGTAACATATTTGGGATGCAGCTCCCCGTAGCATCCGGGGCACAGGGCAGGTGCCCTAAGGAACGCAGAAGATGGGGACAGACAGGGTAGGGAGCTCCCGTGGAGGGTGCGGGAAAGAGTGCTACTCGCAAAGGGCCTGATATGTGGTCTCTGGCTCTTCCTGGTAGTGTGACCTGGGGCAAATTATTTCATCTGTATGAACCTCCATTTCTTTGTCAAGTGGACGCCACAATCCCACACCTAATGAGGGTTTCTAATGAAACCCTCAACACGTGTGTGTACAGCGTAGCCCTGGAGCAAAGGAGGGACTGTACATGCCTTCCAACAGGCCCACCAGGAACACACCCGAAGTTGGATTTATTAGTTTTGGTGAGGAGGAGGAATGCATACATGAGGAACAATGGGGTATCTCAGTAGAGGCGTTAGAATTTGTTACTGGATTTGGGTTGATGCAATTGTGGGAAGTGTTCAAGAAAGCAAGGCCAGGCACTGTATTGGATGCTGTCAGGAAGTGGGGGTAATCCTATGATTGGGTATCTTAATTCTTAGTAAGAAGGAGTGAACGCTAGATAGAGGTTAAAGCCATTACTGATAAAGAAGCAGCTTGTAGTAGACATTTTTGGTCATTTTTGTGGTTTCAACAATGTTCCTGATCTGTGTTCAGACAAGACTGTGGAGTGGTCTTGTTTTTGTCTTGATCATGGTCATAGAATGCCTTTGTCTGATGTTATTCTGTGAAATTGTTTTTAGTCCACAGAATGTGGTCCCAACGAGCTCATAGCAACATCAAGGACAGTACCCAGATGTCAGAGCTGCTGTCTCTTCCTCCATGCTCAGCAAATGATAGTTAAGTCACTAGATCGTTGAGTCGGAAGTCTTAGATTTGAATCCTAATTGCTACTTGTAACCTACAACTTGCCACTTAACTTCTCAGCTTCTTCAAATGAGCATTTATGAAGCACTTGATATGAGTATGAAACAGTGGAGCATGGAGCTTGGTTGGAAAGAAGGTATACAAAAATGAACAGAACATGGTTGCCGAGGAAGACATCATATTTTAAAATTGTAGTATACTGTACTAAGTGCTAAATTAGGGGCACATTAGAAATGGGATGGGCAGTGAGAACAGCCGACTGACCAAGGAGTGTTGGTCTGGAAGGGAGAGGTAGAGATCTGACCACTTCCCAAGATCACAAGGGAGAAGAAATGAAATAATCTATGCAAAAATGCTTTTGAGAATTGTAAAGCACAGCATAGTCTCATTCTCACTAAAATAATATCTATTTTTTTCCTAGCTGCATCCACTTTCTGTTTTAACCAGCTCAGACCCTCTTGTTGAGATAGGAGGAAAATGACCACTTCAGGTGATTGGGCCCTGTAAAATCAAGCAGGTCAAGGTCATGCCCCAAACCTCAGTATCTTAAAATGGCAAAGGTTTATCTCTCGATCTTCCTGCCCATCTTGGGTCACTGGAAAGCTTTACTCCCTGTCATTTTTACTGATGGACACAGATTGATGGAGCCGTCATCTTAATATCATCACTGGCATCAAGGCAGAGAAAATAGAATATGGTGAATCTGATAGCAGCTTTTAAAGATTTCCCCCTAGAAATGATACATACCACTTCTGTTCACATTTGATTGGTGCAAACAAGCCACAAGGCCATGTGAAAAAGTGAAACCCTATCATGTACTCAGAAAGAGGAAGTAATATCAGCAAATACCTCTAATGACATCCTTGTCCCCAAGGCCATGATTTCTCATGAAAATCAAGAGAAAGGAAAAGGCATTTAAGAGATGCTCTGTCCATGGGCAGAAACAATTAGTAGCCAATATATATCCAGGCTTTGCCGTCCCTGCTCTGACACATGGAGAGAGCCAGGCCTTCTTAATTTACTCTTGGCTGCATATCTCTATGTGATAAAAATTGTTATGCAAGCCTTTTTCCTTTTTTCCCCCCAAATAATATTAAGTGCTTGAGTATGTATTAAACTAAAGAAGCCTTAACCAACTGTCAATTGGAATCTGTCACTCTACTAGGTGCTGTGGGTGAAACAAAAAAAGTTAACATACCACAGTTAATTATCAAAGAAATGCCCATTTATTTTTTAGGAAAAGATGAAAATATATGAAAGGAGTAAAAATGATTCAAAACAAACTCTATGGATATCATCACAGACCAGTAATTGTCACTCACCTACTGCTGTTGTTGCTTCTCATGGGTTCCCACTCAAGCCTTAAAGACAGAAATCAAAAATAAAGTCTAGGCACAGAAGGAGGAGTGCCCACCGATTGGGCATAATCTCCCTGGCTGTGTTTCTGAAACATGAGTCACCAGGTCTCCAGGAGGATTTTGAATTTTTATGTTTTCAGTTCAGTGAACGTAGAAATTTTAATGTAAGCATATTCTTAAATTGTACTGATGCTTGATATTACTTGTATTTATATTTCTGCTTATGATCACATTGGCTCCCCAAGTAGAAGTACTTTAATAATGTCAGACTAAAGAGAAAATAAGTGGACTAAATACATAAATGATATGCCCAAGCTAAGTGGAGACCAGACCACGTTCTATCGTGTTGTTCAAAATGTTTTCATAGTATTCTAGGAAAAAGTGTGGGAGAATTGAGTCCTTACCTGACACGTGAATAGATGTGCTGAACTCGGAAGAACCCATGCTGTACAGGGCAGTGCCCTTGTCAAGTGGCAAAGCCAAAACAGAATATAGTAGTTACTAGATTTTGTTGATTTCAAGAGGAAAGTGGCTTTTTCACTTCTGATAAAATCAGTAGAGTCAGATGTGATGAAATGACCTTCATTATACCAATTACTACTTAGCAGGTGATTGTCAGTACTGTGCTGATAAGAGTCGAATTATACAACTCCAAGCACAAATTGTTGAAAAGGAATGTAATCCGATCATACGACCTTGATCAATAATATGCCAAAACAGACCTGGATAAGTTTTATCTATCCGAGAAATTCATAACCTGACTTCAGTCCTTGGCTTTTTTGACCTGTTACCTTGGACGCTGTTGAACAAATTCCTTTTTGAAATGTTTTCTCCCTTTGGGGTCTATGACATGGCTGTATCTTTCTACTACCCTCAGAGCTCCTTCTCAGCTTCCTTGGTGGGCTTGCTTCTCAAACCGTACTATCCCTCAGGTTCCATTTCACATCCTCATGTCCGCAATCACATCCTCATTTGTGACTCAACTACTAATACAGCCCTCACTCCCAAATCTCAAGCTCACCCACTACTCTTGAACTTGACACCCAGAGTTTCCACCTGAGTATTTTTAAAGACCACTGCATAGTTTTAAATGTCCAAAACAGATATTCTCTTCTTATAAATCTTGCAAAGGGACTAAGGATTTCCCTAGTAAATCAGAAATCCTGGCTCTTTCCCTTTGGAGTTTCAAGTTATGGTGACCCATCTGATGTGCTGGGATGGTTCTAAATGAGCTAAGTGTCAGAATGGACAATAATGGCCCTCAAGAAGAAATCCACCAAAATGATGGTGGTGGTGGTGGAGATGGAGAGAAAGGGCTGGGCTGGTAAGCCAGGCCAATGCCAGGGCCTGTCTGGTCTTAGGGGGAGGTCAGTTGGGAACGAAGTAATGATGTTACATCCTGTCCTGACCCACCATCTTGGACCTTGGGGTTCCTCAAGAGAAATAGTTGATTATCTGTACATGAAAATGTTTGTCACTAGAGTTGTAGTTGGGTCTGTGCAGTGGCTAGGCTCCCAGCCCTTAGGTGTGAGAGCTGGTTGTACTGTTTTCTGTATCAGCCTCACAAAAGCAGAAGTGAGAAACATAGGCAGTCAGATCAGACTTCTCAATTTTTTTTCTGCATAACAGAAGTAAACAAGACTGACTCATCTGGACAAAGTATGCACCCGAGGGGTCTTACTTTCCAAGGAAGGGAGAGCTCAGAGAATGATGAATGGGATTCTTATAAATAAAATTTGTTTTATTTATGTAGTAACTTAAGTATGGCTTTATTTTTCAACCACAGCAGGTGAAATAGGATATATGTGAAAGCTTCTAGAAGACGGTCTCACACTTGGTGGGTATTCAATGATGTTTGGATTTGAATCTAAATCTTGTTTAATAAGACACACATCCTACTGTGTTTGATAAATTACAGGGAAGAACCTGGCCATTGCTTCAAGCTGACATTTCCTTCTGTGACCCCACAGAGCAACTGTCATCTTCCTCTCTTAAGAGGAGTCAGTCCCATTTTTAATGGGGTTGGATATGGGAAGGATTTGGAGTTGGCAGAGTCAGTTAAATTCATGCGCATGTGATTCCATGTTTCTAGGATTAGTTCTCCTCCTGTGTCCAGCTCCTTACCCCAGGCCACCATAGTCTCTCATCTGCATTGCTGCAACAGTTTGTCACTTGGGCACTCCACCTCTCCTCTTTATCTATATACAGCAACAAAGCATGATCATCTTTACATAGATGTAGGAGCACATCATTCTCTTGCCTGAAACCATTCGATGGCTTCCCTACTGAATTCTGAATAAAGCTCAACCGCCTTGCTGTAGCCTGAAAGGCCCCAAATTATCTGGCCACTATCCATCTCTGTGCCCCTGAACTCCTTCCTACCATCAGAGTTATTACACTTTTCCTTTAGGCGTTAACTTGAATGTCACCCTAGAGAAGTCCTCTCTGATCATCCTGCCAAATTAGCAAAGTGTGTTCTCTTCTGCTATGCTCTAGCTCAATGGCTTCTTGTTTAAGACTTCACATTCTATATTATTTTATTTATTTGCATGTTTCCCTTTTTTGTCATCGATTCCTTGCACTAGAATTGTAAGCACAGAACCATGACTGACTCATGCAAGACTGTCCACATGTACAGCAGTGGTTGGAACTCAGTAAATCTTTGTCAGATGAATGAAATGAGATGATTTTGTTCAGTGCTCCCAAGTTATGGAATTGTACACAAAATCTGCCCTTGTGAACCACAGAGAATGATTATCTGATATATTGATTTTTCTAAGGGACTGAGTTTATGACTACACGCATTCTTGCTGAATCACTTAAAAGAAATATGTACCAGAGTATTCAGCAAACTGTGGTTACAAACAATATTCAAATATATTATGTAATAATGATGGAAATGAAAAGGTTTTATTCATAAAACCAGTCTAAAATGTGTAACTTCAAAACTAATTGTAATTCTATCTGAAATGTTATTCTTTACCAGAAAAAGAGGGGAAAAAATGTTCATTCCCACTAGTAATCAAATAAACTCATCTTAGGATAACAATTAAAATGTCATCTTCCACATTCAAAATAGGCAAAGGTTTTATTTTTAAGATAAAATTTATTTGACCAGTCTGAGGCAAAATGAACACACTGTCATACACTGTTGGAGAAAAGTCAGTGGATAAAGGTTTTTTCAGAAAAATAATGTAACAATATGCACTAAAATCATTAATGTTTTGGATCCACATTGTCTGCCCAGCAAGTTCTATTGGTAAAATAATCATGAATTGATAGATAAATTGAGCTACTTGGATTTTTACAAGGTTGTTTATAATTTGAAAAGTCCTAAATATATAACACTATGTAACTATAGCTATGTTGTATAAATAAAATAATAGAGGAATAGTGCATATATATAACAGTGTATTTAGAGAAGCTATTATACTATATATATATATTTAATTACATGGAAAATTTTTCATACTATGGCACTGAGACAAAAAGGAAATTAAAAGGAGTATATTGCAATTTTGTTTAAAAAGTGTAAGTATACACGTGAATGCAGAGAAAAAGGCCCATAACATAACATACCAAGTGTTAATAGCAATTATCTCTGAATGATGGGATTACTAACAATTTTTATTATGTGTTAAATACCACAGACCGTATAATTTTCTGTATTCTCTACATTTTCAACAATGAACACGTATTAATTTATAATCAGAAAAAGAGTTGTTTTTTTTTATGAGTTTACTGAAAAAGAAACAAGAGAGGGAAATGATTAAAAAAAAACAAACCCATGCAAAATCACTTATATTTGTTACAAAGCTTTAGGAAAAAAAACCCTCAGGACTTCTCAAAAGTTGATTCTTTTCCAAGCAGTGCTACAAGCTCCATAGTTGAATCAGCAACCACATGGCAAACTGACATCCTGGGCCTGTTGCAGGTGGTCCAAGATAAGACAGGATGGAAGCCAACTCCTGACAGACAATCAAGAATTCTTTCTCTGGAAAAGTTCCTTGAGAATGAGAAATAGCTGTAATTGTTGTGAAATGAATGGAGGAACCAGGGTGAACTTTTGGGTTGCCTGGGCCAACCTCTTGAAAACCAGAAGCACACAACAGTGGAGACTCAAAGAACATGAAACGCTCCAGTCCAAGCCTTTAACTCGACCCATAAGACAACTGAAGCCAAAATGAGTAACTGTGTTATTCTTCCCACTGTTTTTGCTGTTCGATAGTGCTGTGCTCACAGAGAGGTGGAAATGCTCCTCCTGGGAGTTCCCACCCAGCTGCCGAAAGAATGGATGGAGTCTTTAAGGAGGAGTGTAAGAAGGCAGTTAAGTTTAAGAAGGAGTTTTCAGCAGAAGAGGCTCCCTGCCCAGGCCTGTGCCCCAGGAGGTAAACTGTACTGTCTTATCTTTCCACTCCCAGGCTGCTCCCAGGTCCCTCAGGTCATACTCTGTGCCCTCAGGTCATACTTCTGCACTCTGGAGTTTATGAAAACAGGGCAGTCACACCACCTTGGCAGACACTCATGGGGGGGGGGGCCCACACCCATGGGTATCTTCAAACGAAAGATGTCTTGCCAGCATTCACACCAATCCTGAACCCCCGGATTATGATTTACTTTATTTCTTCCCCCCATAACTCTGATAACAGATTTGTAAAATGCAGAAAACCTTCAGGTAATCGGAGCAAAATTTGCAAGGATGCAGAACATAACTAAGCCGAACTCTCTGTTGTTGTTGTTGTTGTTGTTTTAATGATCTTATTTATTTATTAGAGAGGGGGAGGGAGAGAGAGAGCACGAGGGTGGGGAGGAGCAGAGGGAGAGGGAGAAGCAGACTCCCCACTGAGCAGGAAGCCCAGCCTGCAGCTGGGCTTGATCCCAGGACTCCCGGGATCTTGACCTGAGCCGAAGGCAGATGCTCAACCCACTGAGCCACCCAGAAGTCCCGCAGAACTCTCTGTTAAGGGTGTTTTTTTTTTTTTTTTTTAATTTCCCTTCCCCAAATATCTGGTATCCCACAGTATTCCCTATCTAGTGTTCTACTTCTCACCCCAGCCAGACCCTGGCTTCATCCTTGACTCTTCTCTCTAATACATACCCTCCACAAGTGTTCATTCAGACCTTTTACCGTGCTTTATTCATTCAACAGAAATGTACTGAGGGAGTTCTGGTTTCAGCTCCAATGTGTAAAGAGCTTGCAAGTCATCACTCCATCCTTAGAGCAAAACAGCTGAACAAGCTGAAAATCAACACCTTCTCTTAAACCCAGCAGAGACGGAGGTCACAGGGCAGAGCTACATCCCGCAGTCTGGAGAGACAGGCCAATCCAGAGTCACAACCAAGATCTTATCTGTAAGGAAGACGCTAGAGCCATAAGCTGGTGGGAACACTTAGTTGACAGTTTTGATAAATTCCTGGAGGCCCAGTTTGAAATAGCCTGAGAGTAAGAAATTCCTGGTGTCTGCCACCTTTTTTGGGGTTCTATCTCCAAAAACCTCACCAGGTTTTTCAGGCTGAAGAGCCAAGAATGATCCCCATATGGCTCTGGCAGAGGAAGGGGAATAGTTACCATTTAAAAATATGCCTAGGGGCGCCTGGTTGGCTCAGTCAGTTAAGTGCCTGACTGTGGCTCAGGTCATGATCTCAGGGTCCTGGGATCAGAGCTCTGCATCCCACTCCACACTCAGCAGGGAGTCTGCTTCTCCCTCTCTCTTTGCCCCTCCCTCCACTCGTGCTCTCTCTCTCAAATATATAAATAAAATAAAAAAATATATGCCTCGAGAGTTCTTACAACAAAGGTCTGCTTTATAAGGGAAGGGACTGTCCTACCTGGGGAAGGACATTTCCCTGCCTCCAGCCCCCTCTAGCCTTCCTGTCTCACCCGAGGGAAGGAAAAAAAGAGTTAATAAGTATTTGTGACAGTCAGAGCCCAGGAACACACGTCCACTAAAAGACTGATATTTAATTGTAAGATCACATAAGAACACTTTCCCTTGCCCACACTTGACCAGCACCGGCAGAGCTCCAGTAAAATAGCAGTGGATCCTAACTGAAAGAGCTGTAAGGCACAGACCCTATTTACTTTGAAGCCTTTGGCACCTGCAACTACAACAGAGATTAAAGACAGCCTAAAACCCTAGCTAGATTAACAGAAGAGCCCATAGTAAAGGCCTGCTTATGTCAGTTTCTATTACCTCATACGTCATGTATGAGTTTCAGCAAAAAAAATTGCAAACCATGCTAAAAGGCAAGCAAAAACACAATCTGAAGTGCATCACAACCAGAGGCAAGTATGGCGGAGATTTTGGAATTGTTGGGCAGGCAATTTAAAATACCTGTGATAAGGGCGCCTGGGTGGCTCAGCTGGTTAAGCGACTGCCTTCGGCTCAGGTCATGATCCTGGAGTCCCTGGATTGAGTCCCGCATCGGGCTCCCTGCTTGGCAGGGAGTCGTCTTCTCCCTCTGACCCTCCCCCCTCTCATGTGCTCTCTCTCTCATTCTCTCTCTCTCAAATAAATAAATAAAATCTTTAAAAAAATACCTATGATAAATATTTTAAGAGCTATTTTTGGAAAAGTAGACAACTTGCAAGAACAGTTGTCAGGTAAGCAGCAAGATGGAAACTCTGAGAAAGCATTGAAAGGAAATTCTAGAGGGCGCCTGGGTGGCTCAGTCGTTAAGCCTCTGCCTTCAGCTCAGGTCATGGCCTCAGGGTCCTGGGATCAAGTCCCACATCAGGCTCCCTGCTCCGCGGGAAGCCTGCTTCTCCCTCTCCCACTCCCCCTGCTTGTGTTCCCTCTCTCACTGTCTCTCTCTGTCAAATAAATAAATAAAATCTTAAAAAAAAAAAAGAAAAGAAAGGAAGTGCTAGAAATCAAAACCACTGTAACAGAAATGAAGAGTGCCTTTGATGGGCTCCACGATAGATTGGACATGGCCAAGAAAAGAACCACTGCCCTGAAGACAGATCAAAATGTACTGAGTGCCTGTGTGTGCCAGACACCGTGTTGGGCGGCGACGAGCAAGACAAGTGGCCGCATCCTCCTAGAGGGGCCTCCCTTACCGCAAGCCGAGAATTCAGAGTACACCCATTCGTCTCAAGCCTGTCCCATCCTTCTCATCTTTGCCGTCTGCTACCATCCCCATCCTGGCCTCGGCCTTTTTGGAATTTCCCAGATGACTTCCACTTGCCCGTTTGGTCTTCTTACCTTTCGGTCCTGCTCCATTCCGGTTAATTCTTGGCCCTGTTGCCTGTAAAAAGTCAACCTCAAATATAGAACTGGCTGCTTTCTCTCTACTTTAGTGGTTCTAAGGTTGCTGTTGGGATAAAGTCCAAATATAGCTTCAACTTCTACCCCTCCGTACCTAGACACACTGAAGTAAGTTAATGTTCTGATCTGCTAAGTTCCCTCCACTTAATGGAACGTCTCTCCTCTTCCCCTTTCCGCTTTGCCAAGGCATCTAATTTATCCTTCAAGACCCGGTTCAGGAATCAGTGGCCACAAGGAAGCCTTCCTCCCTCTTCCAACACATCAGTTAGGTACCTTTTCTGTTTATCATAGCACTTACCACTCTGTATTGTAATCATCTGTTTCCTTGACTGTTCTACCCAGGACTAGACTGTGGTTCTTTAAGGATACGGGTCATGTCTTAATAGGCCATGTTTTCCAAACACCTAGTGTTTTGGGATATAAAGGCAATGAGTAAATGTTTGATGGATGAATGAATGAATGAACAGATGAATGCAGAAGGTTTACAGCAGGAAAGAAATAGGTAAATACAAGAAACCAAACTACAATAGGCATTTGGCTTAAGAAACCAACTTCCAGGGTGTATTAGTCAGGATTCATGGGTAAAAATAACACAAGTCAACTCTGGTTCACTTAAGCAGAGATGGAATTTCCTAGAGGGGTGTGAGTGCACAGAATCAATAGGAAGCCTGGAGAGTCATTGAAAAGACCTAGCCAAGAACATGGCACAGGAATGGTCCGCTGAGAACCGAGGCTGGCATAGCTGTCTTGGCACATCGGCTGCAGTGCATCATCACTGCCACAGCCACTGCCGACAATCACAAATTGGTGACTTAGTCCCTTTTTCAAGATTCAGAGTCTCAGAGGGAGAATCTGACTTGCCACACTTGGGTGAGGTGTCCGTGATGTAGTTGTTGGGGGTGGGCAAAGGGAATAGCCTCTCTTCAGTTTCATAAGAATGCTGTTCACAAGTGAAAAAATGGCAACCGTGCAGATTTTCCTGAAGAGCTATGTGTCAGTTACCTAGGGCTGTCATAACAAGGGACTACAAACTCGATGACTTACACCACCAGAAATTTATTTCCTCACAATTCTAGAGGCTAGAAGTCGGAAATCAAGGTGTCGGCGGGGTGTCCGCACTTCTAGAAAGTGCCTTTCTCTTAGCTTCCGGTGGTTACTGGCAATTCTTGGCAACATTTGGCCTCCAGATGCACTACTGCAAGAACATCAAGTAGTGTTCTCCCTGTGTGTCTGTGTTTCTGTGTCTCCTCCTCTTATACGGACACCAGTCATATTGGGTTAGGGGGCCACCTGCTCCAACATGACCTCATCTTAACTAATTACCTCTGTAATGACCTTATTTCCAAATAAGGTTACATTCTGAGGTACTGGGTGTTAGAATTTCAACATGTCTTTTTGGAGGACACAGTTCAACCCATAACATCCTACATTTTCTACATCAATGTTTTCCTTCTGTTCCATGGTTTACCAAGAGCAATGAAGGGGGAGTCTTCTGCCTCAAGTATAGACAAGGGGCACATTGTGAAGGATGTGAAGACATAATAAAAATGACTAAAAGATAGTTGCCTATTTGTTATCCACTTGGGCCAGCAGTTCTGAACAATATCAGTGATAAAATACTTTTCTCCGCAACATCTATGTGTTGGCTCTAAATAATTTCCATATGTGGCAAAGATGTTCACAGATTCTTCAATATTCCTCCCTTCAATATGTGGAGCCCACTTTCTCTCTCCTGAGCGTGGGCTGGACTAAGTGTTTTTGTTTGGCTCATACATGATGTGTTTACAGAGTTTGAATTCTATTTTTTTAAAGATTTTATTTATTTATTTGACAGAGAGCACAAGCAGGGGGAGAGGCAGAGAGAGAAGCCGACTCCCCGCTGAGCAGGGAGCCCGATGCAGGGCTCCATCCCAGGACCCTGGGATCATGACCTGAGCTGAAGGTAGACGCTTAACCGACTGAGCCACCCAGGCACACCTTGAATTCTATTTTTAAATGGATATTTATTTCTTGTTTTTTTGTTAGTTGTTTTAAAACTAAAGAAGGAATCAAGCAGACAAATATAAAAT